TTTGTATGTGGATCTTTGGTTATTCGGGTTTTCTCCCGCGTAAGATTCAAAGTATCTAGGCAACGTTTCGGCGAGGTCCCACTCGCCATCTTCAGGCTGGTGCTTTCGGCTTAGTGCCAGTGCAAGCAGTGTGTGACCGGAGCTGCCATCTCTCTATATCACACACTCTCTATATCACACACTGCTTGCACTGGCACTAAGCCGAAAGCAAATCCTCTCTGGAAAACTAATACTCTATAAAGACCTCCTATACAGGCTTCCTTGAAAAATATTCCCCATTGAACTCAGGTTTAATTTTGAATATACAGTATAGTATTTCATGAATTGGGTTTGATTTGGGAAGTCTTGGATTCAAATCTCATATTAATTATAAAGATGTGTAATGTTCTTTAGCAACTAGCTGCCTAATTATATAATTATCATAAATTAGTAAGGACTAAATTCAGTAGCCATGTTTATGCCACTTAAAGCTTCATGATAGAATGAAACCTTTTAGTTAATATCAGTACAAATACATTTTTTAGAGCTGAATCCCTTCTTTATATATATAGTTTTGAAATCCAGATTTCCAAGTGCTTTAGAAAGTGACAAAAAGAAAGTAATCCCTATAAAGAACTAAAAAGAGTTTGGGGAGTGGGAGGGACCATCCCCAGAATTCCTGTAAAGAAATCTCCACGTGGTCATTGTAACAGTGGTTGCAGAATTTGGCATTTATGTTTGATCTGTTTTTCTTCATTGGGTTTAATATGTCGATATAGCAGCATGCTTTTTCTTGAGAAAACAAAGATTGGTTGATTGACAGCTGCTAAGAAATGAGGCTTTCATCCATCTTAAGACATTTTAATTTCTGATCTTCAACTCATGTGTTTTACGAGTTAAAGACAAGCCTTTAGCTTAGTGCCACAGCATCTGTTTCATTTTCAGAAAGCATTGGCACCTCCAGATAGATTTTGGACATGCTCTTGCTGAACCCAGCATAGCTATTGTCAGTAGTTTGTATATCATGTTATGCTTGATTTGGTTAACAATAGTGAGCTGCAATTAGCTAGATATACTGAGCGTGTTAAACTACCAGCCCCCCCCCCCCCCCCCAAAAAAAAAAAAAACCCAAATTCATAAACCACAGTGGTTGGACTCATACAACACTCAAACTAAATGTTATTAACAATGAGTCGCATGGACCAGTGAGGATTTAAGGTAGCTTTATAGCAGTTGGCTACTGCTGAATTATAATATGTAGTGAGAAAGCACCATAGAGTTTATTACCTGAGGTAGTGGAGAATGTTCTATGGTATAAACTGACTTTCTTGGTAATTTCCTCCTCACTCTGGGTTAAAAGAGCTCCTCAGATCATAAACTTTGTGTTTGGTAGGACTCAACTAAGTGTGTTATCTTTTACAGCTCCCACCGTTCCTATTTGCCCCCCTGCAGCGCCCTGGCCAAGTCCAGCTATAATCATTGCCGCATGCTGTGCCATACCGGTGTTCCTCTTTCTAGTTTTCATCATTTGCTACAAAGCCATAAAAAGGTAAGACTTGTGTTAGCATATTGAAGTTTGATGATACAAGATGAGCTGAATATACCAGCATGGAGATGCCGCAGTGTTGCAGATTGTGCAGTTCTCTAAAAGGGATACCATAGTTACAGTTTCTGAATTTACTCATCACGCATGCACACAGAAGTTTTGCCTTCCTTCCTTTCCCTTCCCTTTCTTTTTTAGCTCATAAATCCTAGACACTGTCTTGTTTTCAATAACTGAATGATCAGAATAACCAAAAACAAGCACAGAGCTATTGATTTCAGGAGGACTTGACTATACAGGGGGATAGAATGAGAACACCTAGACCCAAGGGCAGAAGCTGCAAGTTATTTGGGAGGAATGTACAGCACCACAAGTGCCTCTAAGTGGTTGCTACTGGCGGAAGGAAGGAGGAGAACCACAGCATGGGCTGCTCCAATGCAGTCCAGAGTTTGTTACAGAATAGTGGAACAGTGTTACATTACGAGAGCCCCAACATCACGGGAGTTGTATAAGAACCAGGTATAAAGGAAAAGCCCTTCACCTAATTACAAAGTTCTACCTGCACCCTCTATAGCTGGAAAATCATACATTAGAACTTAGTGTGCATTTATTTTTTCCTGCTTGCGCCCAAAATTAACGTGTCTGGGAGGTTCCAAAAGCAAAAATGTATGTAGTCTATCATTCAAAGCCTGCTGAGAGAAGTTAGGTTGTGATTGTTTTTTGTTTTATGTTTGCCCTGAGTGAAAAGAGCATTTCACTGTTCCACTAAATTCTTCCAATAAATGCTCCATTAAGCAGTTTCCTCAGGCTATTGGCAATAACTTCAATAGGCTCTATTAACTATTTGTGATTTTCAGGGAAGTAACATTTCCTCCAGTTTGATCTTTCAGTGCAACAGAATCAAATGAAAGATTAAATAAAGGATTAAATTGTAAAAAATGGAGTTGGTAGAATGGATTATAACATTTCATCTTGCAGGCGTGAAATTAAATTTATCCATATTCCTTTAAATTAAACTTCCGTCTACTTACCAAATGCTGAGAAACTTCTGATTTTAGCTATTCTTTAACAAGCAAATGAATATATAGTTCGGCATTACCTTCTTACAATCTGAAATTGTACTATCTGCTTTCCCAATTCAAGATTTTTTCACCTCATCCTGCTGTTATATACATCAATTATAAACACACATTAAACTTAATGGTCTTTTTTCCCCTATTGGAATAAAAAAAAAAAACTATGCCGATCCTACTTCAAAAGACACACATAAAATTAAAGCTCAGAATTTATCTGAACATATTTTGAGTTTGGGAGCCATCGGAACTGAACTCAATTTTCTTTGTAGAATTCTTGCTCACATGAAGCTTTCTATATTTAAGAAACCTGTTTTTAGTGGAAAAATGGGAAATGTTGCTAGTACCATTAACAGTTACTAAACTCTTTCAGGTCACTCAGATGTCTGTACTAGTCTACATTCTTACTTTTCTTCTTTTCACCTTTGTATGGATCACATCTTATTCTGCCAGAATACCGGTAGTGTTAAGTGTTCAGTCTGTGTTCAGTATTCAGTGTACTTCAGATGCATTTCCTTCCTTTTCCTGTAGCACTTTGTCTGAGATAAAGCCAGAGATTGAACTTAATCAAGATTCAAAAAGTTTCCTGTGCACTTTGATTTAGAAACATTAGATTATCCAGGGAAGGGAGAGATATCACTGCAATTCAATCATTTTGCAGCCAAATTTAGTGGTATGGTCTGCCTTCAGTTGTGCAGTTCTTATTCACCACAGAATATTGACTAACTTAGGTGTTTATGAAGCAATTAAGACAGAGTGGCATGGCCATGTGACTGGCTGGGCGTGGCTTTTTTTGGTGCAGCACACACACCCCAGCACTTCATTGTTGTTTTTGCCTCCTGGGCCTCAGAGAAGCTTCCTGGGGGGCATTTTTACTCCCAGGAGGCTTCCCTGAGGCCAAGGAAGGCCAAAAAAAAAATGGAGCGTGGTGGGGCGCACAGCATCCCCCCATGCTCCATTTTTTTGCCTCCTGGGCCTCAGGGAAGCCTCCTGGGGGGCATTTTTGCTCCCAGGAAGCTTCCTTGAGGCTCAGGAAGGCAAAAAACAGAGCATGGGGGGATGCTGTGTGCCCCACCACGCTCCTTTTTTTTTGACATTTTTTTGAGAGTAAGACAGTGAGGGGGATCCTGGCACAGCTGATCGTCGGGGGGGGGGGGGGAAATACCAGTTCGGATGAAGTGGTGGCTGTTTTTTTTACTACCGGTTCGGCCAAACAGTAGCATTTTTTCCCTACCGGTTCATGTGAACCAGGCCGAACCGGTAGAATCCCACCACTGAATTAAGACCTTTTTTTGTTCAACAAGCCTACAGGGCTTGAGGTGTTGAATTAGTTGTTCCATCAAGGGAGTGTTGTATATAATTTAACTGTTTTCTAATGACTGTGTATTAGTTGAGTTGTTTTCAATAATTTATGTTCGTAATATTGTGCTCAATAAGCCACTCAGAATCAGTTTAAGACTGGAGTGGCATATAAGCATGAGGTACTGGGGGACAATATGGGATGTATAAACCATGCCTAGTTGCCCAATTCAGATTTAAATTAACATTATGAGAAAGAGAATATCTGGAGCTCAGGGTTGGCATGTTGTATTGTTGGAATTCTTGCAGCTCATTTTGGGGATGTAGACATTTCATTACCGTGCTAGGTAGCATAATCATTACAGGAATTTTAGTGACATGACCTTCGTTGTTTGGTGTAATTGTATATTCTTATTATCTTGCCTACTTTACCTGTTCTTAGATGGAAAAGTCCCCTGGGTAGATTTTTTTTTTTTTGCAAGTGACTTTCAGTTGCCTTGTGGGTAATAGATTATTTGACTGATAAGGTTTGTCATTTGTGTATTGGTGGTTTCCTGTGTGATCAGTAATATTGATAGCTGTTTCAGAGGACAACTCATTTGGAGGATGCTATTCTTCTGCCATTAATTTTTAGTTATTAGCTTGATAAGGAAATAGCTATAGTTTATTTAGGTGTGATTTGATTGTTTAAGAAGGAGATAGAATGTTATAAGCTAATTGCTAAAATTTGGTCTTCGATTGTTTTGTAGGCCATAGGAAGGGGTTTAAGCCTGTATACCTGTTAACTCTGCTTCCTGTTGCAATCTGAAAGCAGAATGAATGAATTTTAAAAATGTATATGGAGATTCTCAGTCATCCAGGTCATGATTGTCCCAAAAGTGCTTTTTTAAGAGGTAACTGGAAAGAGGCAGTCCACCAACCAGTCACAGCTGAAGAAGCTTCTTGGATGAGAAGCAAAACGTCATAAAAAAAAATAAGAAAGTCCAATTGCCTCTTGAAAGAAGCACTTTGGGAGTTTTAAAAATGCTTGATTTAAAAATAATATAATGGAAATTTCTATGTATTGGACCTCATTTTGTGAGGCAGGTGAATCTTACGATGTGCACATCGTAAGATTCGGCTTAAGTGTCATACTATGGCATTAGAACCACATTATATACTTTCATCTTATTTCAAACTTTAGGGTTTGGTTAATATACTCTGCTTCAGAAGATTTTTAACCTAGCAAGAATCAGTTTTCTCTTGTCTGAGAAATTTAGAAAAACTTTTTGATTTTGCTCTTCTATCTTGCCTTTATGTTATTGAAGATACATCTTAAGCAAAAGGATTTAAAATTGGCTCATATATTTATTTGTTTTATCTAATCCTGCCTTTATTATTTTTATAAATAATTCAAGATGACGGACACACATAGTCCTTCCTTCTGTTTTTCCCACAGCAACAAGCAAAGTGGGTTCGGCGGCGAGAGAATGATAGTCCAAGGTCACCCACAGGCTTCCATGCCTAAGACAGAACTGCAATTCACAGTCTCCTGTTTTCCAGAAAATTCATATTTTAAACAGATAATGCAATCTGCTATCTGTAAAACAACTGAGTGTCCTCCTTGTCCTCTAAGGCAGGGGTCCCCAACCTCCAAGCCATGGACTGGTACTGGTCCATGGCCTATAATGAATCAGGCTGCAAAGCTAAGCTGATGGTGACTAGCGGATGAGTGAACAAAAGGGAAACCATCCCCCCTCCCAGTCTGTGGCAAAATTGTCTTCATTGAAAACCGGTCCCTGGTGCCAAAAAAGATAGGGGAGTCCTGCTCTAAGACAGTGACTGATGCAGAACATATTTTTGTGGTCCATACAGTGCAAATCTTATGTTGAAAATATTGGTGATTGTTCTAGCTTTTCCTAATTTGGGCTCAGATGAAGTTAGTACAATACAGGCTACAAAGCAATGGCAAACCACTTTGGTATTACTGCCAAGAAGAGGTCCATACAGTTTTCTTTGCTTTTTATTCCTTTCTACAAGCAAAATTCCAAGTATACCACACAGCAGAACAGTCAAGAATGGGTAGTGTTCATTATAGATGTGGCGTCTTCTGCGTAATCAATCACTGCAAAGCCCAGAAAGAATCTGAGTTGTGACCTGGCAATCCATTAATTAGTTTCTCATCGCAGAACATTAGAATTACGGAAATTCAGAATCAGCCCTCTTGTTTTCACCCATTAAATTAAAGTCAATCAGTGTTAATGCTTGAGAATAGAAACAATTATGTCTAAAAAAGAACAGCACACAAATTATATGATAAAGAATTACACATGCCAGGCAGAAAATAGCTCTCTAAAATTGTGAAGATTCTTTACTTTCTTTTTTGATAGTCTAGTTATAATCTTATTAAACATTATTTTAAAAAAGCTATGAGTAAAGAAAGGCAAGCTTGTAGTAGGATATTTTCATGTGAGCACAGACATCTGGGCAAGATGATACAGTTATCAGCCTAATTTCACATCTTTTCCCCCTTGAATCTGGCTAAAAATGATGGGTGTTATAATCCCACATATCTGGAAGGCATTACTATACAATAAGAAGACTGGCCCTGCTCTACAGTGAAGCTCATCATTCTATCTTAGGCCTAAGATGCTG